GAAAGCCTGCAGAGGGGCAATGTTAGAAGTGAACCCGTAGGGTCGGTTTAGGGTTTAGATAGGGTTTAGGGTTTAGGGTCATCTGATGTAAGGGTTTCAGCTTCGGCGTTTCGTTTGTCTGAAATCACAGTTTGGAAGTTGGCGTGGAATCCCGCAACAAGGCATTACCTCAACGGTCACAAGGGTATGTCTCAAGACAAGGACCCATTTTCTGCTGTTCTCTACACCCAAGGGCTTCGTCTATGTACCTCTATATCCCCATACAACTTGCCTAAACCCTAGACCCTAAACCCTGAACCCGCGATAGTACAGTACTGTCCATTTCCTACCCATTATTGCTATCAAAGCCCCCGAACTCCAAGGGATATGGTTTAGGGTTTAGCTAAGCCATTTTGGTGGCCCTGATGTGAGGGACCACCCGCCGATGCTGGGGCAACGTAGGAGATAGCCCTTGCGAGACACATAGTCTCCCGGAAGTAGATAGAATATGGCTTTGGGTATATTATGATAAGATCCCCATATACCCTATATTCTATCTACTTAAGGGAACTATATCCAGAAAGGTTTCTGGCTTCTGGGATTTCCCAGATTTTTCCGGCTTTCCAGCCCCCATGCTTCGCTGAAGCATCTCATCAAAAGCAAAGGGCCTCTGCAGGCAAAGCAGCCCATAACACAGGGTTTAGTGCTTTACAAGGACTCTAGGATCACAATATTGGGAATTAGTCAGGCCCTACACCCTGAACCCTAAACTTCTGAACCCTGAGCCATTTAGGTCGTACTTGTTGGATTACTTGGTTAGGGGCAGATTACATGACTAGGCCTCCGTACCAAGAGTACGCTTGGCAGCTGGCTGCGAACGATTCGCGCAGAAAAAAAAGAAGGGATGGCGATGTTGACTGTTACCAGAAAGTTGGGCTTCACACAAATCAGATGGTATAGTGCGGTCCAGGAGTACATGAATCATGTCAGGCTCAACTTTCTACATCTACCCAACAGTTCCTTTGAAGTCTTTCTGCTGGCTGGCCCAGTGCATTTGTGAGCATGGGGGCCTTCGACTTGTTGATGCTTAAGGGGATTGGGGAGTGGATCCCTTTAATGGTCCCTATCCAACCACCGAGAATCTCAGGCCTTCCTGTACTCCCTTCAAGCACAATTACGTCTAGAGACTTGGTTGCTAAGCAGGCTTTGAAGATCCGCGAAGTATGCACCCAGGAGTATACTCTCCTTAAGTAGGTGGAATATGGCTTTGGTTATATTATAATCAGGTCCCCATGTACCCCATATTCCATCTACTGAAGGGGGACCATAGGTGAGACGTCGGGCTCGTGCATTTCTAAGTTGAGCACAATGGGATCCAAGCCAGTTGAGGTGTCGGGTACCTCAAAATGCACCATAATTTTGACAACCAGAAACCATATGTTCCGCTAGACACACTATAGGCCGCCTATGTAATCCCTTGATAGGGAACCTGTGTATAGACTGTGGTTGGAAAGTTTAGTAAGCTCTTCAGATTATATGAATCCCCTGCAAGATTCAAAGTTCTCCTCAAAAGAGAGCTTACATGCTATGTTGGGCGTCATTAAGTATTAGGGGCTGGGGGTGTTGTATATTGGTTATGAATGAGTTAATTAAGTAGGTCATAAGTTATAAAGGGACCTAGCAGTGGGGCTGGCTGTAGAACTCACATTTGAGCTATAGTCTAAACTCCTAGTCCCTCTTTCATAACCTTTCTAATGCTCCCTGTCTAACCCCCCATATAAGCCCTCTTTAAGGAGTTTAGACCATAGCTCATTTAGAATCTACTTGCTCAGTCCATGGAGTCCTTAAGTAGTGTTAGGGATTACAGTACCACTGCTCTCAAACATGGACACCCGAGGGTTTTAAGGGCAAATACGGCCTACATAGTTACAGGGCTAGTACCTTTAAATGGATCCCCAGGATTTAAAGAGTGAATGGGGCCTGGACGGGGTTTAACTGGCATGCTCCAAATGAGGGCGAGCCCATGTAAGCAGTCACCACACCTCTAGAACCCCAAATGTGACAGGCAGCTCTGTACCCTAAGCCCTAAACCCCAAACCCTAAACACCTAAACCCTAAACCCTCCCTAACCCTATGAAAGGCAGCTCTTTAGCTGGAAAGCGCTGCCGCTCAATGAGCTGCCCCCGACTCAGCAAGGGGTTACTTGACATTCTCCTTAAGGGTGGCTAAGGTACGTGGTTATCATATACTCAGGAGAAGCTAAACAACGATTTCTACAATAAGGGACCCAAAGTATATGGTTGTTGAAAAATGTACCCTCAGATTCTGGGTCTTTATGAAAAGTCAGATGGACCAACGTCAAGACTGCTGCACATAGTGTGTGGGGTACTTTCAGCGATACTTTTGCTCATTTTCCAGAAAATTCTGGATCTTATTGTATTGGGTTGTATTGGTATCCTTGCAAGGTGGCGTACTGTATTTTGCAAGGAGTTTAATGTGCTAATCTGCTCATTCTAAGAAGCACTCAGGGAAGCACAGCCGCATTGAATGGCAATGCGTCTCCTAGCTTGAGGGCGCCCATAATCAGGACACCTCGTATCTTAGAGATGTACAAGACTCTAAGGTGGGCGATTGAGGACTGCATGGATAGTGGTAAGTTGCTTCCCCAGCGGATGGAAGTTTGGACTTTACTTTGTTGGTAGCTGCAGTAATTAGCCCGACTGTGTCACCAATAGCTACAGTGATAATTCCAAACTACACGGTCGCGCTCGCAAGAGACTGCTTTGGAGACCGTACTACGTGCTGGTCCCTGAAGGATTCCCATACTAGCCCTGTATACTCTCCAACAAGATAGTACCTTGTATTCTTCCATTCCCTACCAACACCCAGCCAGACTAGGGCCCCTGAGTACAGACTTGCGGATGTCTTCGAGTGTCAGGTCGCAGTTTCAGCGTTGTCAGATCGTTGGGCTCGGCATGCCTTGCACTTATGCTTACTAGTTCTCAGTAGGGAATCAGGGAAGATAATTCCCACGTAAACACTATATGATATATTCCTTTAATCCTACTAGTACCAAGCACGAGATCAGCCTTTCGCATAAGAACGGATCTGATTTCCCATGCATCAAATATGACAAGACTTTGAACCCTGCATCTAATTGGCATTGGGCCTCTACCTCCAATGAACCTCCTATATCATCCTGGTACAAAGTCTGTGTGCTCCTGGATGTTTCCAATTCCACGCCTCAAAGGCTCCGTCCAGCTGGCTCCTTACGGCCTTTACAGTCGCAGCGTAATCACAAGAAACCCCTAGTACCCAGGGAACCCAATACCCCTTAAGGAATATAGCTTAAATCATATTGGGGTCCCCAATACCATTTAGGCTATATTCCTCATTTAAGGTGTTTTGGGCTCTTTGGGTAGTAGCTCTCAAGCATGCCCGAGGCGGAAGGAGTGCCACGATGCCGGAATCTCGCATCGCTCCATGGGCGTATCGCCGGGATGCCTGGTCCATAGGGTTATAGTCCCCCTTAAGTAAATAGAATATGATATGGCCATGGGTACATTAGAATAAGACCCCCATATACCCTGTATTCTATCTACTTAAGGGGGACTCTAGATAGGGTTTTCCCGTGATTAGGGGTCCTTTTTGTGGGAGCTCCTGTAGCTGCCGGAATTTCAACACCCCCCCCAAATAATGCCTAGCACAACTACCATTACTGGCTCTTGATACACTCAGATCACACGTTGCATCACCTGTTACTGAGCGGGGGCAGTCTCCAGGTCTTAGGGTTTGCGTATGGGGTTGTAGTGGAGAACCAAATGGAAAAGCAAAAAGCTGAACATGACGTTGAAACAGAGTGGCTTTTCAGGGGTCATTCGGGCATTGCGTGTGAGCTTGAGTTGATGAGGGGATGGGGTTGGTTCTGGTAGAAGCCTATAACTAACAATATTATCTCCTTGTAGTAGTCATCGAAGGACCAAAGCACAACATCCCCCAAAACTTGTTGTAATCGTCTAGGGTCCTACACATTCTGGACTAGGATGATGTGTGCAGCGTTGCTCCTCCCTCGCAAGCATGACAGGAAGAACATGCTGCCGAGAAAGCGCGAGAGGTAAAGAGAAGATGAAGACAAGGCAGAACAAGAAAGGCCACTATAGGCCCCAAGATATCATAATCCTTATATGCATATTGCATATATACCCCATTCTAGTGTAGAAGTTACCATTTTCTTTTCCATTATCCTTATTAGTATACTGTACTAAATAGGCAGAGAGTCAAGCTCCGCAATCTGCCGGAGTGCTGCAAATCTGAGACAGCCCACTGATCGCACCTCCAGCAATCGTCGCACGATCCTCATTTAGGGTTTAAGGTTTAGTTAGGGTTTAGGGTTCAGGGAGTCCTGCGATAGTATCACCCCGCATGCATGTCATGAGCTCCATATATAACCAATAATGGTTTCCATTTTCTTTTCCATTAATCCCATATAAACCCCAATATACTATAGTAGTTTCCATTTTATTTTCCATTATCCCAATATAACCCTAAACCCTAAACCTATAGTAGCTTCCATTTTCTTTTCCATTATCCCTATATAACCCCAATATACCATTAATGTATCTATATAACCAAAGGGTCTCTCTCATCTCAGGAGGCCGGAAGAAGTCCAGGCCGTTTTCCT